AAATATTGAGAAAAGTTGAATTGTTTGTTAGAGAAAAGTTGGTTTTAGTGATCTACGAGGAGAGTTAGGTGATTTGCGTCTGATTATTACTATTTTAAAAAACTGTGTATTTTTTGATAATATGCAGTATTTAACAGAAATACTTGCACCAATCAAGTTTGCAATTCTTTAAGTAGAAGGAAGCCAATTTAATCTTGCTGATTACTATATTGCACTTTTTAAAATTGGTATCACAATTAATAAATTATCACAAAAAGAATATCATGGATTTAGAAATTATTGTGTTCAAGTATTTAATTGATAATATGAAGAATTTAATGATCTTAATTACCTTCTAGCATTTTTTTATATCCAGCTTATAAAGAAAAAGGATTTAAATTTGGAATGTTTTCTACAATTGCATATTATACTGGTATATTATGGAAGTCTTTAGGAAAATCTAAAGAAAGCTTTGAATCATTGATTACACAATTACGGCAATACAAGATGCAAAAACATTCTGATAGAACACCAAATGCATATACAATGCCTTATTCATTTAATAAAGATACTCTATTAAGTTGATAGACAACATGTGAAGTAAATCCAAATGAATTACAATATTTTGCTATATAACTTTTTTCAATTACACCTAGTAGTGCAGCATGTGAACATATATTTTCAACTTTAAACTGGCTTTATGGAACACAGCATTAGCAAATAAATCTTCAAACTTTAGAAAATATTGCTAAAGTTCATTGATTTAACATATCACAAATTAAAGTAAAAACTGAACAAATTAAAAACAATGAATTAAATTCTAATAATTTATATATATTAGTTAATTCTATGCTTTATGACTTTGAAGATAATGATTCTTAAGATAACATTGATCAATTCTTTGTTTCAGATTCAACTAATACTATAACAGATAATTTAGAATTAGAAATCAAAACATTTATTGATTTTAATTCACTAATTTTTAAATCATATAATGATAATAATGATGATTTGCTTAAAAATGAGAATTTTGAATCTAATGTAATAGAAATTCATGAGTGATATGAGCTCTAGTTTTAGTAGATTTAGCATGTTTAAATTCTTTATTGCAGTGAATACATTTTCCT